AAGAAATGATCAAAAGCTCTAAAGGATCTGTTTGGAAGAGAAAAAATATGAATCAAGAAAAGGAAAATGAGAAAAATATTGCAAACAAAAATTGCAAGAAGAGTATTGAGAAAATAACAAAGAAAGGGGAAAATTATAATAATGATAATAATTACCCTTTGGTTTGTTATGATGAATTACCAGGCTATATGAAGGATAATGAGTTTATTCTCAATTATTATAGAGCTAATTGGCCTATTAAACAAGCTCTTTTAAGCATTTTTCGTTGGCATAATGAAACTCTTAATGTTTGGACGTAAGTATTTTATCTTATCTCTCATTACATTTTCAACGGATTTTTTCTATTTCCGATGACACGAGCTAAAACTTTGAGTTTATAAATTCTGAATTCTAAAAAATATAGCTCTATGTTCTTGATAAGTTAGTTATACATGTTAAGTGGATTTTTGCACCAAAACTATTAGGTTTTGTTCATGGGTGGAGCTACGTAGAGTCGAGGGATTCATCTTAATCTTTTTTGACAAAAAACTACATAGTTTATATATGATTAAAATTACTTATTATGAATATATATAGAGTAGATTTGAACCCCCTTCAACTTCTTCATATGTTTATTTCTTTATTTTTGGTTTATTTCTCCTAATTCAGAGAAAGCTAAACTTTTTTAAAATTCTATTTTGCAGGCATTTACTTGGATTTATTCTATTTGTGGCACTAACCTTATCAAATGTAGTGCAAGTGCCTCAACTCTCTGATTTCATGACTATGTTTATTTGGTAAGTCACCTAAATTCTATTATCTAATATTTATGTTGAGATCTGACAAAATTTCAATTTGTGTCGCAAAATCTTATATTAGAACAAAACACTTCATATATAATAATAAAGATAATTTTATATCCAGATTTCGAACCGAAAAACTCATTATTCCTTAAGTGACTTAAAAGAGATAAACTTTTAAGTGTTAGTATTACTTTGAGGCAAGATAAAATAAAGTTAGGTCACCTGACTAATAATTTTTTTTAGCTAATTTCCCAACAAAATAATAAGTCTAGTAGTTCCTACTATTAAATTTCAAAACTAGTATGAAAAGTCAATTTTTATTTTTAAAAAAAGCTGAATTATTTATAGAGATAATCCTAGTGACAGCTAAAAAGACACTTTTGGTCCATTTTAATTACTATCTGAAAAGTTGGTTGATTGAATAGTAGTTTAATTTTTAGTATATGCTTTTATGGTGTTGTTGGCCATCAAACTTCCAACTACATTCCATAAATACGTGCCCTTTTTTTTTTATTTATATATAAAAAACAAAATAATAATAATTTAGTTCTATGATTCATTAAAGTCATTGTCACAACCTCCAACAATTTTTTTTGGGAATTTATGTCAATTCCGAAAGTAGAAAAAAGAAAAGAAAAAAATAATAATTTAATTTTATCTTAAAGATTAGGGTAGGAAGGTCGAAAACTAGGTCAGAAGAGTCGTATGTAGTAGAGTCTTATCTTACCTTTAGTTAGTATTCACACAACATCTTTAATTTTTCTTCTATTTTTACTACTATACGTGACTTGTTTTGTATTGTTCATCTTGCTATTTTGCTATCATTATTTCCTTTTCAATCTATTATGATTGTATGATAAATTTATTAAATTTTGGTTCAATCTCGCAGGAACTTTCCCATGAGTGGTGATGCAAATGCCTCTAACAATTCAAAGGAATTTTTCCAAGTGAGTCACTTTCCAAATTGTTTTTAAACAAATCAATTTCATTTTCTTGAATTCTAATTAAGGAAGAAAAAAATAACATGAAACATAAATATAAATAATAATAATAAAAAAAGTTATAACATGTTAAGTTACATTTTCAATAATTTTAATTTATTTATATCGACAATATATATAAACTAGGAAAATTGACATAACTACCCGTTTGCATAATGTATAAATATATATTTGTCTAGTAACTATAATCATTTTTGGTCAAGCGTCCAAATATATGAGAAAAAAGTCAGTAAAATTAACTTAAGTGGTTGTCCGCAAAAAAAAACTGGTAGATATGTAATATATGTATTATTAATGTATAATACATGTATATTCGCTAACGAGCTATAAATATTTTTGATCGATCGAACAAATGTATATATAACTTTCCCTAATATAAACCTTTTTTTTTCTTTCAGGGTCCATCTAGACTAATTGATTTAAAGCAGGACCAACACTTACAATTGGATAACATGATGTCAACAAAGAGTATACAAAGTGAAACAACATGGCCATTTTATGTATTCTTAGTTGGTTCAATGTTTTGTCTACTTTCAAGTAGCATTTGTCACCTCTTTTGTTGCCATTCACACAAGCTAAACATCCTTTTGTTGAGAATGGACTATGTTGGAATCACAGTCATGATAATCACCTCATTCTTCCCACCAATTTACTACATTTTTCAATGTTCACCACATTGGCAAATTGTATACCTAGGTGGTATCACAATCATGGGAATTTGCACCATCATCACCCTCCTATCCCCCGTGTTTTCGACCGGGAAGTATAGATCGTTCCGTGCTGTTTTGTTCATGTCTATGGGATTCTTCGGCCTGATACCTGCGGTTCATGCAGTAGTACTGAATTGGGATGAGCCAGAAAGGAATGTCACGCTAGCGTATGAATTGGCAATGGCATTGTCTTATTTAATCGGGACTATGTTTTATATTATGCGGATCCCGGAGAGATGGAGACCTGGATTTTTTGACCTAGCTGGTCATAGTCATCAAATATTTCATGTATTTGTGATTTTAGGTGCATTGTCACACTATGGTGCTGCACTAGTGTTCTTGGAATATAGGAGTCGATTGAGGTGTGACACATAATAAATTACAATACACTATGATTTAATTTTATCAAAGGAAAAAAAAAAAGGGAAAGAAAAGAATATGATTGTCATACTTTATTTTTTATTTGTATTTCTTTGAAAAAAAAAAATTTGATGTAAGGCATTGCATTGTGTTATACATGGTGTGAAGGTTTTTTTTTTTTTTTTTAATCTTTTTAGATATAGGAAAAATCATTCATTTGTTATTTATATTATGTAATGAACTTCTAATGTATACAATTTCAAGATGAATTAAAGATTAAGATTTTTTTAGTGATTGTCACTATTAATTATTATTTTTTTACTATTTCATTTGAAGAAATATTAAAGTAAGAATACATATAATCATATTTTTGGGCTTTGATATGTTTTGTACAAATATGGACCAATATTTTGTCAAATGGGCTAACTCATTATGATTTAATAAGTTCATAAACTTAATTTATGCCTCGAGATACAAGTTATGTCTCAAAGCATGAGTTCAATTTTAATATATCATGCCTTAAAAAAATCATACTACTGAATTTATATTCTGAGGCACAAGTTATGCTTACCTAACCTATGCCCCAAGGTATAAGTTATGTCTACTGAACTTATGCCTCATGCAAAATTTCCTAAAAAACTTGTCTTGTGAATTAATTAGATAGTACTAAAATGCCTTAGAAAAAACTTTCTCTAAGAAGATTTGTCTTATGAAAATAGGTCATAGTTAAAAATACTTTGATCCACATTTTTTTTATTAGAGGGTAATAGGGAAAAATTTAAAGACTACCCCCGAAATAGAAGTAATCTGTAAAAAAAATAAAATGTTCAACTAGTGCCACTGAATTAAAAAAAAAGTATATAAAATTCCAAATACATGAAAAATAGCTAGGGTAAAAGTATAAAAAAAACTAATAATTTTGAGCCCTCAATTGTTACACTCTTTACTCTTGAAAGAGATGTAGAAAAGCTCCAAGTAAGTGGAGTTTGAAACAGTTACTATAGCACTATGAAATTGATGATGAAGTTCGTCGCTAAATAGCTCATAAAAAATAAAATAAAAATTAATAATCCGTCGCTAAATGTATTTCTTTAGATACAAATTACAATAATAATTATTATCTATTTCCTATAAGAAGACCATAAGATGTTAAAGCAATCACACCTTAAACTCCACATAGTTTCATTTCTCAAGGAACCTCTCCTATAGAACTAACTAGTAATTTTTGGTTCCTTAACATTTCTTCGGAAGCAGTCTTTTTTGCCTTCACAAGATAGTAATAAGATGTGAATACACTCTATTCTCTTTAGATTTTTTTCCATTTATAGAATTTCACCAAATATGTTATTATAACATTTCTCCCTAAAAGGGAATTTCAACAAAGAACAAGTCTATTCACTTGGATCATAAAGTCTAGAGAAAATGTGTCTGGCCCAATTAAAATCAGATTAAAGCCCATAATGGCCCATTGACAGCCCTCATCCAATAGATCTTATATGTATGGGCAAACAACACAAATTTAACTAGTTTAAGAGTAAATTATTTTTCTTTAAGCGAGTTTTCAATATTTTGAATCCTAACAGAGCTTGAACTTCGGATACATGGATCAAAATTATGTGTAATTTATTTTAGATACACCGTATTCAAGTGAATTCGCATGTATCTGACTCTCTTGCTCGCCTGTCTTCCTATGTATTTGTATTTTAGAATGTATGCGATATCGCAAATACATGTATCTAGTGTGATTCGCATGAATCCGAAATGCGTAAACTATCTCGTTCGCCTCCCTTTTATCTTGCTCCCCCTATCCTTCTCTCGCTTGCCTCTCTCCCTATTTCAGTGTAGCCGATAGCAAAATATATATGTGTGTGTATCTGACTTGCAATCTGGTATGATGCTATTAATAAGTGAGATTAATATATAATTATTTCAAACTATAGAAAAAATAAATAAATATGATAGAAATGTTTATAGTAGAAATGTAGTTTCCTGTATATATCCTTTTATACTCTCTCTCTCTCTTCTTCTTTTTCTCAAGAGAGATGGAAAACATAATCGGGTCGGGTCGGGTCGTGAAGGTCCATGTCCAACAGGATCCGACCCATTTCTTGCCCTACCAAATTAATCAGACCAATTCTCTTTCTCTTCATTTTTTTTCCTCTCTTTCCCTGCTGCTGCAATAGTAGGCCAAAACTGTGATAGTAATCACTGTTTCAATTTCAAGAATCTCAACTTTCTGAGCTTATTACACAATTTAGCGCATACCCAGATAAGTTTTTTCACTTTGGTAAACATGGTTGATGTTTCTGAAGCTGAAGGAGATAGAGAAGTACCAATTTGCCCTTCAATTCCTTCTGGTGAACAAACGGTTTGGGCTGATGCTTCATCTGTTCTTCAGCTCGCCTGCAATGGTCTCTTTCTCTTTAATCACTTTATTTCCTTTATATCAATGTATTGGGTTTTCAAGTTTTGAGTTTTTAATGTGATGCTATAAGGAAGTGTGGGTGAGGGGGTGGGGTGGGGTGGGGGGGTTAAAGTAGAGCTAGAAAATATTGATGTTGTTTTAGCTATTATCATGTTACTGAAGTACCAAGTAGTGGCAGAGTCAGGAATTCAAATAAAGGATTGAAAAAGAAACAATTTTTATGCCATAGGGATTCAATAATTTATATTTATGGAAAAAACATATTGTTTACCCTATTTCCATAGTAGAATTTCAACAATTGAGGTTCAGTTGGACCCCCTTGCACCCTTTGCGTCCGCCCCTGGTACCACGTATGGTACCATGGGTGTTAGTTTATTGCTGCAATCTGTTATATATTTTGTTGAAACATGTTTATGTGCTGAGAAAAAAATTGGGATCATTAAAAGGGGTGTATTGCGATTCGTTTATTCAATTAGATTGGGAGATGTAACAATACGAGAAGTAGAAGGAGCTTTGTTGAATACAAAGACTGCTTTTGAAGAAGAGCATTTTATCTATAAAATTGCCCGTAATATCCTTATAGAGAGGACATTTCCTTCTTTTTTTTTCTTTGAAAATGGTGGTGTTACCTCCCACCAGCTGGGTAATTATGCATTCATACCCCTCAAGACTTAGGCAAATGGGAAGAATTTACCTAAAGCCCAATCTTTTTACCTCTGTTGGGATCTGACCATTAAGGCCACAACATTGGGTGCCTTTTATGGGGAGGAAGTTTGCATTATTGTATTGGATGCGGCATTTGGGTTGGAAGGAAAAGAAAGAATTTTGATGAAGTTATGAATTTAACTAGTGAGCTTGATGTGGTCTTGGGATTTTGTTATTCATTATGCAGTCAAATATCATGCTACATCTGTGTAATTCAAGGAAGAAACTTGCCTTATGTGAATTTGTTTCAAATTATTTGGTCCCAGATCTTCGAGATGGAGAGCTGATACATGCGGAAAATTTTAATCTTTTTGCTGCCATGTCAGCATTAGAGGTAATGTTACGTTTCCAGTTTTGTGTTTTTTTCTTCAGTTCTATGATTATCTTGTGGATGATACCAATCATCCTTTTTCCTTGATACTTGTATGAAGTGGTATTTTTGACAAAGGTAACAGTTTTGTGTATGAAGTGGTATAGACTTCCTGGATCTTATCTGCTAGATCCTGCTTGATATGTTGTTACTTTTTGTCATACATTGATGAACTGTTTTTTTCCTTCATGATGATACTCTCTATCTTTGTGTTGCACTTACATGTTTCGTAATTTGAACTAGATAATGGACCCAAAGATGGATTCAGGCATGGTACGCACATACTATTCAGTAGATGAAGCTATTGAGTATGGTGCTGCTCCTATTCCTTTGAGTTTTGACAAAACAGTTGATGTGCAACGTGTCATTGATATCATGGATCATCTTCTTGCTTGTGAGGTATTCCTGGCTTCTTACACAAAGCGGTTATAGTCGAGCAAGAAGTTTTTCTTTGGCTGATATATATTGGGAATGCAGGCAACATGGCATAAAGGTTGTTCACTGGCTCAAACTGTTTTTTCTTGCTTATACCTTTTGAGGCCTGATAGGGCGTCATCACATGCGCTACTACATTCATATTGCAGAGTCATGCGTGCAACCTGCAATGCGGTTGTCTGCACAGTCTCAGATACACGCACAAATGAAGTAAGCACCACCGCAACTCTCATTAATGTTTATCATTTCGTGTCTTCATGGAACATAGTTTTGACAAGTTGAATCTTCTATGGGAAAGGTGAAAAATGCGATCTATTTGTTATTTTAGTTAACTGATGAATATGATAGTTTAGCCTGATGTATGGAAGGTAGATGAGTCCTGTACTGCTTCAGTACCATCTTGGTACCTTATTAGACTTGACCTTTACTTATTAAAAAAACTTGATGTTATCTAACAAAAAACTGATGCATATAATATTTCTGGAAACAGTTTACAAATCTTGGTAGCCCTTTTCTAAATGCAAACTTATGTTGGTGCGTTCTCCATGTCTGCACCTAGGAGGGGGGACTGAAACATTTACCCTTCACTTTCTTCGTAAAATAGTGATGAAGAAAGTTAAAGAAGCATTTTTGTAGATCTTTTAATACTGGAGCCCAAATTGCACGATTGTTATTTGAAGATCGTGGTGGCAAACCTTGTATGCTCTATGCTGTGGGTAGTGACCTGATCCTACAACTGAAAACACGTGATTTGTTCAATGTTGTCCACCTCATATGTTGGAATAGTTTCACACTACTTAAGTTGATCTTCAGTTGGGTAACACTTGGAACCACGATATCTCCTATTCGTATGTTGTACTGTGACCCATCTCATAAACACACTCTAGGGTATCATTTACAAACAGTACATGTGAGAGTCTTGGGCTGTCCTTCCCCTCACACTAGTCGTGAAGCCCTTAAAGTATCTTTTTGTAACACTCTGTGCATCATGTTACTTGGCGCCTCCATTACCAGGGAGAATAACATTGGAAATAGCATGTTCCCCTGCATCTAGAGCTAGCGAAGAAAACATTGAGGCTCCTGGTAACGGGCAACCTCACTGTCGATATGCAGAATATAATCCATTTCCTCCATCTCTCTCTGCAACTCATGTTCGTCCTCGCTAAGTTAAAGAAGTCTGAATTCACACGATCGTATGTCTTCTATTATCCAGCTTCTCCTTGTATAGCTCCTTCCCACAAGTGATATTTAAAAGGTATCTTCCTTCCAGAATTGCCTTCGAAGAAACTGACATTGTGTCATGCAATGACTTCTTTAGTCTATTGGCAAGTATCTTAGCAATGATCTTATCGACAATGTTGTTAAAGATTCGCTATAAGATGGTTAAGATCTGAAGCTATGCGGAATGCACGTTAGTGCTTTCCCTTGTTTAGGCAGCACATCGCGGCAGCCGGCAGGCATGGAGGCGCTTCATGCGTTGTGTTATACAGGCTCTATGCTGAAGAGGATGGCGCTAATCGCTATATAATAAAATGTAGTTGGCGAAGTGATACTAATTTTTTTTTTATGACAAGGGAAACCCGCAGTTGCTACCCTTTGGGTGCACACAGGGTAAAACCCCCGCTCCTATGCAATAGCTCGCAAACCACATAGGAGAGGTAACCCGCACTAGGCAAGCCCGGTGCGATGAGCTCGACCCAGGAGGCAAACCCTGGCAAGGGGTTTCGAACTTGAGACCTCCAACATGGAAGTCCCAGGCCCAACCACTGGGCCACCCCGAAGGGTTGGCGAAGTGATATTAATTGGCAAGAGAATATTATATTTTAACGATTAGGAAAAGGAAATTAGAAATTTAGTGTAAGAAAATTAGCAACTGAACCATTAATAAAATTTCCATGTTAGGATTAAAAATGGTTTTTGAACTTGAGAAGTTTTTTCACTTCTTTTTTTGATAAAGGTAACTTTATATTCACGTCAAAACACATCAGCAGAGCATGATGAGGTGGGATTTACAACCCCACAGGGGGTAGTTTCAAAAGCCGAAACTGGGCAAAAACTTTACAATTGAGCTCTAAAATCCACTAAGCTATCTACCTCCCCCACCAAATCCTGTTTACACCAAAAATACAGCAAGCTCAAGCTATTCATCTTGATTTTTTGAGTGTTGTTAAGTTTCCCATCATGTGATCTTTCATTCCTTTCCTTCCACAATGTCCACCAAATGCAGGCTGGGATGCACTTCCACCAGTCTTCTTTGGATCTTCTTCTTCTGCCCACTCCTTCCCACTGTCTCAGCAAGTCTAAAGTAGTCTTGGGCATTACCCAGTTAACTCCAAGTATACATAAGAACATGTCCCACAGATTTACAGCTGTTCTGCAGTGTAAGAAAAGGTGACTGTTAACTTCTGCCTCTTCCCCACACATGTAACACCTTGAGCAAATCTGTATACCTCTTCTTTGTAACACTTCATGGGTTAGACATGCTTTCCTGATTGCCAACCAAGTGAAACCTGAAACCTTGTGAGGGATCTTGATTTTCCAAATTAGTTTCCAAGGCCATTCCATTTCCATAGTCTGATTAGAATTTAAACTCCAGTAACAAGACTTCACAGTGAAAATCCCTTTCTTTTGTATTTTCCAGATTGGAGTGTCAGGACCTTCAGTGACACCTGGAAATGCATTAAGTGTTTGTAGTAATTCTGCTACTCTGTCAATCTCCCAGTCATTTAAAGCCCTCCTAAAGATCAAATCCCAACCTTGAGGGCTCCACACCTGTGCCACAGTGTCCATCTGTTGTAGACTCAATATATAAAGATCTGGGAACATGATCTTCAAATTCTCTTCTCCTAACCAGAGTTCATTCCAAAAATTGGTTTTCACCCTATTCCCAATCCTAAAGGATAGATTGGGGATAAAAGATGGCCACAGTCTTCTGATTGTCTTCCAAACAGAGCATCCAAAAGTACCATTTGCTTCTTCAGTGATCCAATT